TTGAGCGTCAATTGCGAAATATCACTCGGCCAGATAGACCGCCAAGCTCACCCTCTGCTGTGCAAACGAAAACTCCCCGAAAGCCCAGAGCCTTTTGAAGACTAGCGCGCAGTGCATTACACCTTGTCACCCGTCAAATACCTTCTTCTCTAAAGCTCAAGTTTCTCATCGGTCAGCCGGGATGGTCTGCACAGGGGGCACATGCAGACAAAGAATTGGGGGAGAAAATGGTGAGATTTCTTCGTTCTGGGGCCACGGATACCACTGCAGTTGCAGCCACAGATCGACGCCACATTGGTAAAGCTCATGTCTATACCGCTGAGGATGTGCTGCAGCTCAGATAAGAGAGAGAGAGGATTGATGAAGAAAAAGCGGCCAAAATCAAAAAGCGCCTGGATAAGGCTGCAGCTAAAGCAGCACCAGTAGGAAAGGGTCTCAAAGGGTCCAAACATGCGGAAAAGCAGGGTGCAGGTTCGAAGAAGGTGGATACAAATTGTCTTAGTGATTGGGAAGATGAGGAAGAAGATATCACAGATGGAGAGGGGTGGGATGATGAGAAAAGTGAGGGGCAGGAGGGCTCAGATATATATGTTCGAAGTAGGCCATTCCAAGTTGATGTCATAGAGGATGGAGACAGTGGAGAAGAGGTCAATAGTCAACCTCCAGTAGTTACACAGTCAGGGAGACTGGTTAAGAGCGGTCATTTGACTTAACAAAAGTCACCTCCGGATGGTCGGTTAACCGGGCGTGGGCAGTTTCCCGGTAAAATACGTCAAGTCAACCAAGATCTTCAAAAGGTTGCAAAGCGGCCCGGAAATGGAGATTAAACGAACAATGGCACAAATACGGTCGCAGCGATCGCAATTGACAGCTTTGAGCATATGATAGTGGCAATGGAGCTGCGGTTCTAGCCAGCTAGATGAGTGATGCCGAGCAGTTATTTATCGATGCACAACATTGAGTTTAACTATGAAATGAAGGTTACCAGATGAAAGATGGCATGAATATGATTGCAGCGATCGTATTTGACACCACAGAGTATACAATAGTGAAGATTGAGTTACAGCTCTTGTTGGCTGGATGAGTGACGTTAAGCAGATAATGGCTTCGAAGACTAATCAGAGGCAATGTATGGTGGCAGCAATGGTATTTGACACCACAGAGTATATGATAGCTACGATGGAGTTGCGGCTCTAGCTAGTTTGATATGTGACGTCGAGCAGATTCTGTACGACACGAAGACCATTCGGAGGCCACGAACTTGTGAGCCTCAAATACCCTAAACGGAAACGTGTTTCTCCGCCAATCAGAATGCTTCGTGGGGACATTGCATGAAGACATCGGTGTATATAACTCATTAATAAAGAACTAATAGCCGGAGGGCTAAAAGAGTCGAAAATGGCCTGTAGCTAAAAGGACGAAGACTGTACACAAGAGACTCGATCCAGAATCACCAAGTGTGAAAGAAGTGGAAGCCAAAGCTATTTGTTTGTTTTGTAGACTAGAGAACGAGTGAAGAAAAGAAATTTATCCTCCGCCGGAAACCTAGTTTATATACAATGATTTCGTCCACAATTCACTCGTTCCATAATACCTCCAATCTCCTGCTGTCTTTGTACACCGCTTTTACACGATTACTACGTTTCCCATAAAACCGGATTCGAAACCTGATTTTATCCTCGTCGTGTTTTAGCCTGCGTTCGAAACCTGATTTCATCCCCGTCGTGCTGTAGCCTTCGTTCGAAACCTGATTTCATTCTCGTCGTGCATTATCTTTTGTATTATTCACCGATCATCACTCCACCATCGATCGTCACTCATCACAACCGTGACAATGATACTGTTAACGTCAGCAGGCTGAAGGTTGACCGCATGGTCCGTTCGAGGGTTGCTTGGCATCCACTGCCTCCGCCAGTATGGACAAGCCACACAGGAACAAATACATGCCACCAAATGAAATACCTCCATAAATGCATGTGTAGCGAACACTCCCTTTCCCTTCCCCCCACTAGCGGTAACCACATGAATTCCTGCGCAGAAGGAGTAATTGAGTAGCCATTCATAGTAGTGCACGTGGGTTAGAAACATTTTACCATCGACAGGAGGCTGTTGCTCCAACAGAGGGATTACATTGACATACTGCAAAACAGTCTCAATACAAGTAGCATCACTGGCAAGAGCTGGATGAAGGGTCAACTGGGGCAGTAACAGAGACGCGCAGTTGTTGAGCATGACAGACGAAGTCATAATTGAATAGCAATGAAAGAATTCATCAAAGAGGCTGAAAGAGAGTGTGAAGGAATGCGTGAAGGAAACTGTAGGAGAGTGAGCACCGAAAAAAATGAGCGACGGAGTTCAGCTGATGAAGGGAAGGTAATATTTGTGTGCAAACTTGCGTCTTATAACCACTTGAACCCCTGGCTCATGACCTTTACCCCAGCAAAAAGTAGTAATCAGCTACTATTCAGACGCTAGGAACAGTCCATGTTGCCGCAGAACAGTTACCATTGACTGTCCGGATAGACACCCTGATGGATTTCCTGGCGGCTACTGACGTCGGGAAGTTCCCGTCGAAGGGAACTGAGGAGTAGTAGAGTCAACTAATTATTTTGCTTGCGTCCGTGGCTTGCCTGGACGCAAGCAACTTGATTGGTTGAACCGATAGCGTGCGCAGGTGCAGTGGGTGGGGGGTGTTTCTCTCTTTTCTGTTTCCTTCTGTTGAGTGGGCGTGGTCAACCTTCCACATCTTTCTTTTGTCTGCGGGGACGAAGAGTAGCGGGTGGGAGCTCTGCCACTTAGCCGGCTTGCCCGGAGGCGGAGGTGTCTGTGTAGGTTCTGTCATACTCTAATTGGAGTGCATCCAGTATGAATAAAACAATATACAAGCGTCAACCGGGGTCCGCAGAACGCATCCTGGGAACTGCATTAAGTAGCAAAAGGAATGTGCAAGAATCAAATAGCATCTGGGGCACTCATTGGAGGAAGTCATTGGGAAAACGCAGCTCACCTTAAAAGGTGGCTGATCTTCCCTGGATGTTCCGCTCCCTAAGTTGAATGGTTATCACGGAAAAATATTACTTAATCTCCATACTTGGTTGCTCGTGACTCTATTAACCGGATCGAACTGACTTTCCCAGACGCGTCAGAAGCACTGGAAAATTTTTATTCAACTTAACAAAAAAATGCTATCCTTCGCCGTTGTATATGATTTCATTGGGAGTGCCTGTTCCCCGAACTCCGGACTGCTTCCCCTTCAATGTCAATTGTCTTAGGTGAAGGTATAGTTCTGTTGGCCTCTCTATGTTCTCCCGGACCATTATTGTGGCAGCCACACCGGATCCATAGGCGCAGCCTATGGTATTGTCAGAGGATAGTTACAAAGACCTAGGCATAATAACCCACTTTGAGAGGTGCCGGTGAGAATCACAGTCTCCTCATTACATCGTCCAGCACTCCGGATGTTAGTGCCGGGTGCAAACGCTGAGAGTCTTCTTCCGAAACCACTTGTGATATGCATCCTATCTTGTTCATCGCATTTTCCCACGACAAACGCATTTAAGGCTGAAGAAGGCGATTTTTGGTCCGCGTTTTCCTACCAGATAGTCAGCAATAAGTTTTTCCACCAACTAAAGCTTCGGACCGTGAATGTAATACAGCAAGGTTGACTGCCGCAAGAAACACCGGGGCTCCCAAGTCCACGATTGAATTAATCATGCTATCGATTAATTGAGATGGAATTCCAGCCGAAAGTGCTATATTTATAACTGGAATATGAATGAATCAGCTATCTCACTATCACAATATAATCCCATTATTTACATCTCTTGCCAGGGTGTGCAATAATATATTCGGAGACTTCAATGAGTGCCTGAGAACTGTTTGTCAACCTTGAACTGTCATGGCGGAATGTGTGGCTGAGATATACTTGTAAGAGCTCATGATGCCTAAATTCCCCTGGGAACTCAAGAATTTTGATTGGCTTGATTCTGCATTTTCGGGCAACGCCATAAATTTCACCGCCAATCAGGGCAGCAACGTGGGTGCCATGCCCTTCACCATCAATTTATCGCCCAGGTAAGAGATTGAAATGGCCTCTTACCACAATTATCATTTTTATCAGCAGTCATTGTAAATGTCTCGAGCACTCTGCCACCGAATTCCGGAACTAAAGTCAGGGAATGGATATATAAATTGTCAATCGTGCCCAATTCTGACAGTTAATGTGGCTGCTACACCTGTATCCAACACAACTACCACAATTCCCTCCCCCCCTTTTGGGTCATAATTGAAGTATTTAGGAGTGCTGTCATGTAGCCAGCTCTGATTGGGCAGGCGGGCCAAACCCCAACTTGCAGGATTTGCCTCCTGCTCGGTATATGGATTTGCGGTGGTGCGAATCAGTGGTTCTTGTATAACTGACGAAATCTGATATTGAGTTGCATTAACAATTGATCACAAAACAAGTCATATTAGCGCACTCTATTATCATGCATAATGTTTTCGCAGATGATTGGACCAAGATCACAACGAAATCCAACAAGAATGTCTCCAACAACATATTCATATGATATTCCATCGCAGTGTTGGTGGTATGAGCGCCACATCTGCTGCGCCAGGCGGTGCAAGCTGGTGAGGAGTAAAACGCGATCGGAAATGCTGATTCCTGATTTACATGTGACAGCATGCTGTCGGCGACAGAATGAGTTAACCGCGGGTGGCGTATGGGATGTGAAGTCCCAAAAATGGTTGAGACAGAATTTAGACATTGCTCTCTGCTTCGGTGGATGGTCAATTGGAGATGGATGTCGTGAAGAACAGTCGAAAGAGAAAAGCAGACAGGGCGGAAGGTGTGAGTAAAGGAAGAGGAAGCGAACGTTCGAACATAACGCGATAAGCATAGTGGGTACCACTGTAAATACGAAGCACTTATTGTTTATGTAATAATATATATCCCCGCTGAACTTCGAACTTGTTCGAACATATCCAGCCATACTCATCAAGGGCCGGTGACGCAATGGTACCGCATTCTTCTGGTATAGAAAAGGCTCTAGGTTTGACTCCTAGGCAGTTCCTTCTTTTCTTGGTTTCAACAGAACTGTGGTGAGTAACTAATATTGTATATTGAATTAATACTCGACTGCGCGAATAATACCTGATACTCAGTTTCAATATGGCAAAAGAGGAGGTATTTCTCGTGGAGGAAGCTGTATCATCTGGATTATAGAGATTGATCATGATCCAGTCAAAAAGTCCCAATTCTGAACAAATTGATTCCGACATTCTGAAAATAGTTGAGTGAATGGCGAGTTATAATTTATAACGTTAGCGGTAGATCTTCACGAGGACTCGCCTTATTCTTACAGCCATCTCCCTCTAGCACGCATTTTTAACGTAAAATCCAGTCTTTCGCCATTGAGAATGTTCTAGTCAGTTCAAGGAGAATGTTCGAGTCAGTTCACGGAGAATGTCAGTCCGTGGAGGGACTAGTTAGTTCACGGAGTCGTGTGTCGAGTGATATCAGGTGGTCACTTTAAAGTTGAGGCTCGGCGGATGTGCTTGGCGCGATTGGGCGTAGCACAGTTTCGAAGCTCTGGTCGTACCATTGTTCAAGCTTTTGTTCGATAAACAATCATCATCGCTTCAGATAGCCGAGAAAGCCTTTGTTTTTCTCTCTAAATAACAATGTCCCTATACACTGGTGACTACAGCAGGGATCCAGAGAGAACAAGCAGACCGCTCCGCCTTTCGTTTCCGAACACTCCATCTTTTGTTTTCCGTCTATTTCACAATCGTTTTCGACAAGCTTCGTTATGCATTCACTCTCTGACAGCTTTGTGTCGCTACACTCGGTTCAAGAAAGACAATCGGTATCGCAATTGTTTCCCACAACCTGTCGCGCGGTGACAGCCAGGTGTCGCTACACTTGGTCGAAGAAAGTCAATCGTGGCTACCCCTAGAAGCATCGAACTGTTGCTCCTTGAAGAATCCGCCAACATCGTTACCAAGTTTCAAAGTGATGCCAAGCAAGGTTTCTTTTTGAACACCAACTTAGAGTATGCCTTCAAACACCTCATCAATTACGCAGACCAAAAAGTGGTGACGAAAGCTATTGCCATTGTGCTCAAATGACTTTGTAACCAAGATTTACCGAGAGAGAAGTGGGCAGAGTCACTAGAGACCTATAGTGGTTGGTTTGGACTCCTCAGCTATCCAGACCTTCCAAGAAATACCTCAAATGACTGTCAGATCGTCCGACTTCCGAACAAAGCGGATGCACTCCGTTTAGTGTTAGCAACGGTTCCAAATTACGGGTCCGGGCCGGTTCCGGTTCCGAACTGCCAAGGGACCGAACCGCACAATCACAAGCGGTTCCAACCCGGAACTGAACCGTAACCCGCCGGGTTTTGGCGGATCCCACCTCTAAAAATATCGCTACAATTAAGTATTTGAGTTCTGATTGGATCGCAACATATTATATATGTAGATTATGCAGTTTTTGACCTTCTTTCACCTCCCGCTCTCCGAATTGCGATACGATTAGTATTCGTTGAGTCGCTGCGAAAAACAGTCGATTTTGGCCGCATTTTCGGCTTTATTTCACAACGACTCAACGAATACTAATCGTATCGCAAATCGGAGAGCGGGAGGTGAAAAAACGTCAAAAACTGTATAACCTAAATATATAACATGTCAGGATCCAATCAGAACTCAAATACTTAATTGTAGCGATAGTTTTAGATGTGGGACCCGCCAAAACCCGGCGGGTTACGGTTCGGTTCCGGGTTGGAACCGCTTGTGATTGGGCGGTTCTGTTCCTTGGCGGTTCCAGAACCGACCCGGGGCCACGGTTCCGGTTTTTAACCGGACTGCGGCCGGGTAACCCGCACCCGTTGCTAACACTAACTCCGTTGTTTGGCTTCCACAATCCCTGGAGCATTCTCTCCAGCTCATTGTACAACATCCTGCAAATCACATTCAGCATTGACTGTCTGTCACGATCAGCATATAGACTGCTTTGATTTACCACCACATCAGCTGCAGAACTGGCAAAGGTGGAACACGACATCTCTGAACTATTATATGTCATTACCCCTGAAGAATCATTTGCAACCACTATATTCACCACTCCCCAACTCCAGGCAAAGGCCACAGTCCCAGACTGGAAAATTATTTCATAAGATCAACCTGTCGAATTCAACAAAGACTGAGAGGCTTCAGTTGAAGAATTCTGAAGTCCAAATCAAGAGGAAGTTGAAGTTGGGAGAGAGAGTGCCAAGCACATAAGCGACAACACCTCGAATATCTTGGCAACAACAATGCCCCACTCAATAAGTACAACCGCCACTATCAGTTTCACTATAGAGACAATTATGACAGTGACAATGATCTTATAGACCCCAACACAGAACTCAATACTCGACCCAATGCAGAAGACAAAAAATGGCCGCTCACGCAGCACCAGAAAGGATCCAAACGGCGTTGTATACCTATGTACATTTTCAATGCACCCAATACACCCAACGCAACTTGGCCCATATGTAAGTTGCAATGATTAGTACATTCCTGGCCTTTACACCTGGTTGTCACAATGATTGCCAGTAGTGGCTGTGGCTATGTACTTCATTGAGTTATTACTTTTATATATTACAATGAGTTAATAAGTTTAGTTTAAATAGTTTATATTAATCTATGTATAGATATCTTTTTTCATATTGCTTCAACACCTTGAATACCCATTCTAGATCTATTGAATAGATGGGTTAAAACTAATCAAGTACTGGAGAAGACAGAGGAAGAGCAGATTTACCATTTATTTCGTTGGTGGGGCAACAGTATCAGTTGTGCAGCCGATTCCTGGAGTACCATGACTTGATAAACTCAATATGACGAATCGAATGAACCAATTGACAATCAATATGAAGAAGAACTGCAATATTCAGAACCAATCAAATACAGGAGAAGGAGGAGTGGGAGCAGGAGTACCATTCCATTTGCTTGTGGAACAACTATGGGAGTTGTGCAACCGATGGCTGGAGTACCCAAGCGAGATCACCTCAACAGGAGGAATTGAATGTAGCTATTCAGGTTTGATTCGGAGAAGAACTGCAATAGTCAGAACCGATTAAATACAGGGGAAGAAAGAGCAGGAGAAGCAGTAGGAGTAGTACACTTTTGGTTGTGGGGCAACTGTAGTAGTTGGGCAACTGATGCCTAGATACCCCAACTGGATCAACTCAATATGACAAATTGAATATAGCTATTGACGTTTGATTGGGAGAAGAACTGCAACAGTAAGAACGCAAGAAATACAGAAGCAGCATGAGCAGTGGGAATAGGAGGAGGAGGGCACTTTCGCTGATTGGGCAACAGTTTCAGTTGTGTGACCGATGTCTGGAGTACCCAAACTGGATCAACAAAACATGATGAATGGAATGAAGCTATTAACCACTGATTCTGAGAAGAACTGCAATAGTCAGAACCGAAGAAATACAGAAGAAGGATCAGCAGGAGGAGCAGGAGGAGGAGTACACTTTCGAATGTGGGGCAATTGTAGAACTTGTTAGACCGATGCCTGGCACAGTCGAACAATATCAACTGAGCATGATGAATCAAATGAAGCTATTTTCAATCAATTCAGAGAAGAACGGCAATGATCGGATTTGATCAAATATTGGAGAAAGCAAATGAGGGGGAGGACTACCATGGGTTTCGCATGTGTGGCAACAGTGAGAGTGGTGCGACTGATGCCTGGGTTACCGAAGCAGGATTGAATCAGTGCAACCAATGAAATTCAGACATTCATGGGTGATTCAGAGTAGCTGTCACGGTTGTGTCGAGTGAGGATCGAAGAAGGAATAAGGATCGATGAAGGGGAAAGGGAATACGAAGGAAAACAGGTTTCAATAGAAGGAATCAGGTTTTGTTGATTGGAATTAGGTTTTGTTGGAAGGAATCAGGTTTTGTTGGTTGCGTTGTAAATATGGCGTGATGGTTATGGCGTAGGCCGCGGGTTGAAAGGGTTGCGTACATAGTTGGGTGGAGTTAGGATGTATTTTGGAACGAGTGAGTAAAGGTGACGACGGTCGCGTTAACTGTATATAAGGATGCTGGATTTGGGGAGGATAGGTTTGTTCTTTACTCGTTCTCTAGTCTACAAAACAATCAATAGCTTCGGCACCAACCTTTGTTCACTTCTGTGATTCCGGATTTCGAGTCTCTTGCTTGTTACGCAGTACCCGCGATCACTGCACCACCGTATAATATCTCTGTCTTAGTTTGGTTTTTATAACCCCTGGAACTCCGAGCCTTGAACCCTTGACAGAAGAACGAGTCTACAATCGATTCTACTGGTTATATTTTAGTATATGTGCCGCTACTCTCATCAAAGCGGTTGTGACTTTTGCCATAGACCCTGCAACTCCCTTTGCGCAGTGTTTAAATCAGTTGGAAACTTCGAAAACAAGCTCACAGTACACAGCTTTTGGAGACACTCCTGCATTGTGTGCCTGTGGAAACATCGACGAGAAGGATCCACGCTGTTTTGATGCCAGCATACGACAGCAACAAACCTCAACAATCCCGAATCAATTTCCTCGACCTAGCTGGTCGAACCCTCAACCTCTTCGAACAAGAACCCCTGAACGCCTTTGACAGCATCGACGCTATCCTCAACGAACCCGAGGAACCTTTGGAAGCATACTTCTGGGATGAACCACAAGCGGTATCTCCTTGGAATAGCTACTGGACAGAAGCAGCAAGCAACGGAGGAGGCCTCCAAATCGACGACGCAGTATTCAAAAACTTTTGGACCAAGTACTACGGTCTTCACGTGGATTGCCACAACAAAGAACCGTGCTACTGCGAACATAACTGCGGAGGAACACATACAACAATCGGTAGAGCAGCAGAAGCTCAATCAACGACATCAGAATCTACGATCAAGGCAACACAGAAGGACATAGAAAGCCAAATCTCGTGGGCAGATTACAACGAACGAAAGGCGAACAAGGGAAAGGGAGTTGACCGCACATTACATCCGGCTCCTTTACCAACCCCGCTAATTATCGTAACA